TGAGACCCCGGCCCCCCGCCCGGGCCTGGCTCCATCGCCCCGCCCGCGCCCTGAGACCCTGGGCTCTGTGCGTGGGACAGGAGCGTTTCCAAGGACGCTCCCAGGGGGCTGGATTTCAATCTCTGGCCTGGCCACCCAGCTTTGGCCTCCAGAACCTTGCGCCTCCTTCCCTGTGGGTGGGGCACGGCTCTGCCCTGCGCCCCCGGCTCCTCCCGGCTCGCTTCGCACCAGGCAGGCAAGTCGCACAGACACTCGTGCGCACACATGCACTTACGTGCACACACACGCACGCGCACACATACACACACGCACACACACACACACGCGCACACACACACACGCACACGCGCACACACACATACACACGCACACACATACGCACACACGCACACGCGCACGCGCACAAACACACACACGCACGCGCACACATACACACACGCGCACACACACAGCACACATACACACACACGCACGCGCACACATACACACACGCACACACATACACACACGCACGCGCACACACACACACGCACGCGCACACACATACACGCACGCGCACACACATGAAATACATTTCGAAATAACGGGTGCGCTGTCTCGCCCCCCGGCAAGCCTCACTGCACGAGGGATGAGGGTGGCTCCAAACGCGCGATTTCGAAACGTGGTGCCGTGGGGAGGCGCCACCTTTCGAAAGAAGCTGTTTCAAAATTCAGGTTTGAGTTTAGGCTGTAGTGTACATGCACCGTTACACTCACACACCCCTGCAACCCCCCTAGCCTCCGCTGCCCTTCGAGGACTGGGGAAAGAACCCAGGCGCCCCCTCCCCTGCTCTAACCACTAGCCTCCGCTGCCCTTCGAGGACTGGGGAAAGAACCCAGGCGCCCCCTCCCCTGCTCTAACCACTAGCCTCCGCTGCCCTTCGAGGACTGGGGAAAGAACCCAGGCGCCCCCTCCCCTGCTCTAACCACTAGCCTCCGCTGCCCTTCGAGGACTGGGGAAAGAACCCAGGCGCCCCCTCCCCTGCTCTAACCACTAGCCTCCGCTGCCCTTCGAGGACTGGGGAAAGAACCCAGGCGCCCCCTCCCCTGCTCTAACCACTAGCCTCCGCTGCCCTTCGAGGACTGGGGAAAGAACCCAGGCGCCCCCTCCCCTGCTCTAACCACTAGCCTCCGCTGCCCTTCGAGGACTGGGGAAAGAACCCAGGCGCCCCCTCCCCTGCTCTAACCACTAGCCTCCGCTGCCCTTCGAGGACTGGGGAAAGAACCCAGGCGCCCCCTCCCCTGCTCTAACCACTAGCCTCCGCTGCCCTTCGAGGACTGGGGAAAGAACCCAGGCGCCCCCTCCCCTGCTCTAACCACTAGCCTCCGCTGCCCTTCGAGGACTGGGGAAAGAACCCAGGCGCCCCCTCCCCTGCTCTAACCACTAGCCTCCGCTGCCCTTCGAGGACTGGGGAAAGAACCCAGGCGCCCCCTCCCCTGCTCTAACCACTAGCCTCCGCTGCCCTTCGAGGACTGGGGAAAGAACCCAGGCGCCCCCTCCCCTGCTCTAACCACTAGCCTCCGCTGCCCTTCGAGGACTGGGGAAAGAACCCAGGCGCCCCCTCCCCTGCTCTAACCACTAGCCTCCGCTGCCCTTCGAGGACTGGGGAAAGAACCCAGGCGCCCCCTCCCCTGCTCTAACCACTAGCCTCCGCTGCCCTTCGAGGACTGGGGAAAGAACCCAGGCGCCCCCTCCCCTGCTCTAACCACTAGCCTCCGCTGCCCTTCGAGGACTGGGGAAAGAACCCAGGCGCCCCCTCCCCTGCTCTAACCACTAGCCTCCGCTGCCCTTCGAGGACTGGGGAAAGAACCCAGGCGCCCCCTCCCCTGCTCTAACCACTAGCCTCCGCTGCCCTTCGAGGACTGGGGAAAGAACCCAGGCGCCCCCTCCCCTGCTCTAACCACTAGCCTCCGCTGCCCTTCGAGGACTGGGGAAAGAACCCAGGCGCCCCCTCCCCTGCTCTAACCACTAGCCTCCGCTGCCCTTCGAGGACTGGGGAAAGAACCCAGGCGCCCCCTCCCCTGCTCTAACCACTAGCCTCCGCTGCCCTTCGAGGACTGGGGAAAGAACCCAGGCGCCCCCTCCCCTGCTCTAACCACTAGCCTCCGCTGCCCTTCGAGGACTGGGGAAAGAACCCAGGCGCCCCCTCCCCTGCTCTAACCACTAGCCTCCGCTGCCCTTCGAGGACTGGGGAAAGAACCCAGGCGCCCCCTCCCCTGCTCTAACCACTAGCCTCCGCTGCCCTTCGAGGACTGGGGAAAGAACCCAGGCGCCCCCTCCCCTGCTCTAACCACTAGCCTCCGCTGCCCTTCGAGGACTGGGGAAAGAACCCAGGCGCCCCCTCCCCTGCTCTAACCACTAGCCTCCGCTGCCCTTCGAGGACTGGGGAAAGAACCCAGGCGCCCCCTCCCCTGCTCTAACCACTAGCCTCCGCTGCCCTTCGAGGACTGGGGAAAGAACCCAGGCGCCCCCTCCCCTGCTCTAACCACTAGCCTCCGCTGCCCTTCGAGGACTGGGGAAAGAACCCAGGCGCCCCCTCCCCTGCTCTAACCACTAGCCTCCGCTGCCCTTCGAGGACTGGGGAAAGAACCCAGGCGCCCCCTCCCCTGCTCTAACCACTAGCCTCCGCTGCCCTTCGAGGACTGGGGAAAGAACCCAGGCGCCCCCTCCCCTGCTCTAACCACTAGCCTCCGCTGCCCTTCGAGGACTGGGGAAAGAACCCAGGCGCCCCCTCCCCTGCTCTAACCACTAGCCTCCGCTGCCCTTCGAGGACTGGGGAAAGAACCCAGGCGCCCCCTCCCCTGCTCTAACCACTAGCCTCCGCTGCCCTTCGAGGACTGGGGAAAGAACCCAGGCGCCCCCTCCCCTGCTCTAACCACTAGCCTCCGCTGCCCTTCGAGGACTGGGGAAAGAACCCAGGCGCCCCCTCCCCTGCTCTAACCACTAGCCTCCGCTGCCCTTCGAGGACTGGGGAAAGAACCCAGGCGCCCCCTCCCCTGCTCTAACCACTAGCCTCCGCTGCCCTTCGAGGACTGGGGAAAGAACCCAGGCGCCCCCTCCCCTGCTCTAACCACTAGCCTCCGCTGCCCTTCGAGGACTGGGGAAAGAACCCAGGCGCCCCCTCCCCTGCTCTAACCACTAGCCTCCGCTGCCCTTCGAGGACTGGGGAAAGAACCCAGGCGCCCCCTCCCCTGCTCTAACCACTAGCCTCCGCTGCCCTTCGAGGACTGGGGAAAGAACCCAGGCGCCCCCTCCCCTGCTCTAACCACTAGCCTCCGCTGCCCTTCGAGGACTGGGGAAAGAACCCAGGCGCCCCCTCCCCTGCTCTAACCACTAGCCTCCGCTGCCCTTCGAGGACTGGGGAAAGAACCCAGGCGCCCCCTCCCCTGCTCTAACCACTAGCCTCCGCTGCCCTTCGAGGACTGGGGAAAGAACCCAGGCGCCCCCTCCCCTGCTCTAACCACTAGCCTCCGCTGCCCTTCGAGGACTGGGGAAAGAACCCAGGCGCCCCCTCCCCTGCTCTAACCACTAGCCTCCGCTGCCCTTCGAGGACTGGGGAAAGAACCCAGGCGCCCCCTCCCCTGCTCTAACCACTAGCCTCCGCTGCCCTTCGAGGACTGGGGAAAGAACCCAGGCGCCCCCTCCCCTGCTCTAACCACTAGCCTCCGCTGCCCTTCGAGGACTGGGGAAAGAACCCAGGCGCCCCCTCCCCTGCTCTAACCACTAGCCTCCGCTGCCCTTCGAGGACTGGGGAAAGAACCCAGGCGCCCCCTCCCCTGCTCTAACCACTAGCCTCCGCTGCCCTTCGAGGACTGGGGAAAGAACCCAGGCGCCCCCTCCCCTGCTCTAACCACTAGCCTCCGCTGCCCTTCGAGGACTGGGGAAAGAACCCAGGCGCCCCCTCCCCTGCTCTAACCACTAGCCTCCGCTGCCCT